TCAGGGACCCACTTGAGCAGGCAGTCTGTCCGTTCTCAGATCTCAACCTCCATGTTGGGAGATCCACTGCTCTCTTCAAAGCTGTCAGACAGGGTCGTTTCCGTCTGCAGAGGTTTCTGCTGCTTTTTTGTTTGTTTGTTTAGCTGTGCCCTGTCCCCAGAGGTGGAGTCCACAGAGACAGGCAAGCCTCCTTGAGCTGCTGTGGGCTCCACCCAGTTCGAGCTTCCCAGCAGCTTTGTTTACCTACTTAAACCTCAGCAATGGTGGGCGCCCCTCCCCCAGCCTCGCTGCTGCCTTTGCCATTAGATCACAGACTGCTGTGCTAGCAATGAGGGAGGCTTCGTGGGCGTGGGACCCTCCCGGCCAGGTGTGGGATATAATCTCCTGGTGTGCCTTTTGCTAAGACCCTTGGTAAAGTGCAGTATTGGGGTGGGAGTTACCCGATTTTCCAGGTATTGTGTGTCTCAGTTCCCCTGGCTAGGAAAAGGGATTTCCTTCCCTCTTGTGCTTCCCAGGTGAGGCAATGCCTCGCCCTGCTTCAGCTCTCGCTGGTCGGGCTGCAGCAGCTGACCAGCACCAATTGTCCAGCACTCCCTAGTGAGATGAACCTGGTACCTCAGTTGAAAAGCAGAAATCACCCATCTTCTGTGTCGCTGGCCCTGGGAGCTGGAGACTGGAGCTGTTCCTATTTGGCCATCTTGCTCTGCCCCTACATACTTTCAAATAGTCCATCTTCAAGCTCACTGATTCTGTTTGACCCATTCTGCTGTTGATGCTCTTTATTTCGTTTTTCACTTCATTTATTGTATTTTTCAGCTCCAAAATTTGTTTGATATTTTAAAAATTATTTTATTCTCTGTTAAATTTTTCTGATAAATTTCTCAATTGATTCTCTGCATCTTCTTAGAGTTTGTTGAACTTCCTTAAAATAGCTATTTTCAGTTCTTTGAGAGATCACTGTCTGGTGCCTGATTTTGTTCATTTGGTAAGGTTGTATTTCTTTGAATGTTCTTGATGCTTGTAGATATGCAATGACATCTGCATATTTAGGGACTAGGTATTTATTTTAGTTTTTGCAGTCTGGCTTAGTTTGTGCTTGTCCTTTTTGGGAGGCCCTTCCAGGAATTTAAGCAAACTGGCTTTTGTGTTCCCTGAGGCTGTGATCACTGCAGCTGTTGAACACTGGAGAATGATCTACATCCAGGCTTGCTGCAGGTCTTATGAGGGCTCCAAGGTTGACATGGCTTTCCAGCCCACATGGACCTGGGAAAGGTTCAAGTTGCATACTAAGGCTGTGGGAATGCTTGCCAGGGACCCAGGTCCAGAAGGCTGTCCTGATGGCCCAGAAGGGCATGTTTCCCAGCAAATCTTTTGACAGGTGGGATGAGTCTCTCGTTGCAATGAGAGGGGCTGGAGTGGAGACTGGCCCTCTTGGGATATGTTGTGGAATGGAGGCTGGAGAGCCCAGTCTCAGCTTAGAGGGGCACACGTAGCCCAGCAAGCTCCTTCAAAGGATATTTCCCCAATGACAGTGTGAGGAGCTGGAGTTGAGACTGGGCCCCCTCAGCATCTGCTGTGGGATGAAGGCTGGAGAACCTATATTGTTTGCCCAAACAGGGCCAGCAGGTCTCAGCTTAGATGGAATAGTTCCCTGTCTGCAGTAGGAGGTGCTGGAGCTGAAATTTAACCCCTTTAGCATCTGCTGTGGGACAGAGGCAGGAGAGCCTGTCTCATTATTTCAGAGGGGCAGGTGTCTCCCAGCAAGTACCTGCATAGATGGGATAGTTCCCTGATTGCAGCAGGAGAGTTAGAGCTGAGACTGGGTCCCCTTGGGATCTGCTGTGGGACAGAGGTTGGCAAGCCTTTCAAGGAGGCTTAGACTCCTAGGCTGCAGGATAAGGACAGGTCTCCCTTTGGGTCTGTGTGTGAGCAGCTCTGAGCTGGGACTGCAACTGAGGGGAGTTGGAGCAGAGTCACCAGGCAACTTTCTGGTTCACTGCTGAGACTGATGTCAGCAGGGAGAGAGCCTTTCCACTAAGGCACTAGTATGCATGATTCCTTATGGACCCCTTTGCAGATAGTTGTGCTTGTAGGCTCAAGGCCAAATGGAGCTGTAGCCAAGTCCCTTGGGGATGTGGGCTATTTCCAGGCTTGAACCCAGAAGCAAGCTTGACATAACAGCCAACTGGGTTTCTGTCTGTGCTCTCAAAATAACCCTCCCACGTCTTCGTCTCTACCAGGATTTCACAAACCCCTACCTGAATCCTGAGCCTCCTGCAAAGAGACTTGACTGTGGATAGGTGCAGGATTCTTTTTTTGTTTTATTTTAAATTAACAGTGTTTATTTACCTCTAGATATTGTTGAGAGACTGGGGTGAAGACACAATTTTCATTTTGTAATTTACAGACTTCTATAAGCTAAAACAAAAACAAAAAAGTCTTCTCTAATGTAATGGTAGAATACAACTTCTATTTATTTTTAGTTTTTTAAATTTCAATCACTTCTGGGGTACAAGTAGTTTTTGGTTACATAGATACATTTTATAGTGGTGAAGTCTGAGAGGGTGCAGGATTCCTGTTGTTGTGGGGGAATGTGAGTTACCCTTTATTCTGCCTTTCTGGTAACGTCCAAGAACAAGAATTCTTGTGCTTATTTCCAAGATATGATTGCCTTAAGAAGAATACCTGTTTATATTTTGCTTTTAGATATAAGTGTTTAAAGCTTGACTTACTTGGAACACAGCATTGATTAAATTATATTTCATTAGTTTTATTGATACTGCTTATCTGTTTAAAATTCAGATAGAAAGTTTGAATGACAAGTTACAAAATGCTAAAGAACAGCTTCGAGAAAAAGAGTTTATAATGCTACAAAATGAACAGGAGATAAGTCAACTGAAAAAAGAAATCGAAAGAACACAACAAAGGATGAAAGAAATGGAGAGTGTAAGCAAATTATTTCCACCTAAGGAACAAGTGATAGTCTCTGTTGAGTGAAAAGAATCTTTATGTTTTAAACTGGTTGGTTTTAATATACAAAAACTGTGCCATAACTGTTTTTAGGCTAGTTATTTGTGCCAGAAACCTGTTAGTTTCTTTGACCTTTTAAAATATTTTTCTGATGGTCTAGGTATAGGCAAAGACAATGTCTCATTTATCTCTGTATACAGGCCTTTGCATGGTATCTTTCATATAGTAAATCTACAATATATGCTTATTTGCTTGACAAATATTTATTGAGAAACTGCTGTGTAACAGAATTGAGGATCAGCTTTTTTTTTTTGAGACGGAGTCTCTCTCTGTCACCCAGGCTGGAGTGCAGTGGCACAATCTCGGCTCATTGCAACCTCTGCTTTCCGGGTTCAAGTGATTCTCCTGCCTCAGCTTCCCAAGTAGCTGGGATTACAGGTGCCTGCCACCACGCCTGGCTAATTTTTGTATTTTTAGTAGAGACAGGGTTTCACCATACTGGCCAAGCTGGTTTCAAACTCCTGACCTTGTGATCCGCCCACCTCGGCCTCCCAAAGTGCCGGGATTACAGGCGTGAGCCACTGTGCCCGGCCGAAGAGTCAGCTATTAATAAGATACGGTGTTTTGTGTATTGGGAACTCCATCAAAAGAATGGATAAATAAATAATTGCACATTATTAAGACCAAGTGCACTGACTTGCCAGATGAAGTTTGATGACTTCATATCATCACTATGCATGTGCGTTGACTGGTGAATTCATTCCTCCACTTGCCTTTTTAAAAAGTGAATTTAGGGTCAGGCACGGTGACTCACACCTGTAATGCCAGCACTTTGGGAGGCCAAGTTGGCAGGATCATTTGAGCCCAGAAATTCAAGACCAGCCTGGGCATTGTAGCAATGGGACCCCTGTCTCTACAAAAACCTTTAAAAACTAGCTAGGTGTGGTGATGCATGCCTGTGGTCCCAGCTGCTTGGGAGGCTGAGGTGGGAGGATTGCTTGAGCCTGGGAGGTCAAGACTGCAGTGATTTGTGATCACACCGCTGCCCTCCATTCTGGGCAACAGAGCAGGAGCCTTTACCAAACAAAGAAGAAGAAAAGGAACAAGAGGAGGAAGAGGAAGAAGAGGAAGAAGAAGGAGGAGGTGGGGAGGGGGAGAAATACTTTATTTGAAATTTAATTGAGTAATATAAAACCATTTCAGTGGGAGTAGCAGCCCCAGTGACAAGTTTTACTTTCACAGAGAATAAGACCTTAACCCAGCTGTGTGGATTAAATGGTGGATTTTAATTATCTATACCAATATATTCTCTTTGACATAGATAATCAAATGTTAACTTCTCTTTTCTCTTTATGTTTTCCGTTATAAGTGTTACTTTCAAAACGATAAAAGATTATATGGCTGGTATATGTTACAGTCATGTAATATATATCAATAAGAGTCCCAATTATGGTATTTTTGTCATTTTCTTATAGATTTTTTTTTCTTGAATATCAGTTTCACAGTGGGTGATACTCATTGTATGTTACATTTTAACATACTCATTGTATGTTAAAGGATTTAGTTGGAAGGGGGAAATTTACTTAAAGCAAAATCACAATAAGAAATAGGTTATCTGTATATTTCATTCTGAAACCTACAAATACCTTATGTTTTTCAGGTTATGAAAGAGCAGGAACAGTACATTGCCACTCAGTACAAGGAGGCCATAGATTTGGGGCAAGAATTGAGGCTAACCCGGGAGCAGGTGCAGAACTCTCATACAGAATTGGCGGAGGCTCGTCGTCAACAAGTCCAAGCACAGAGAGAAACAGAAAGGCTCTCTAGTGAACTGGAGGATATAAAGCAACTCTCTAAAGAGAAAGTAATCCCTATTTTAAATAATCTTATGTTTCTGAAATCTTACCAATTTTAGCATTCACTTTTTTGAACTGTAGAATATAGTTCTTGCAAAAATGAACTGTATCACACAACAGTGTGAATGTACTTAATCCCACCGAATTATACACTTAAAAATGGTTAAAATGGTCAATTTTGTGTATATTTTACCACAATTTTAGAAAATGATGAACTGTGTTATATATAGATAACTTTGTAATATAACCGGGAAGTCCTTCAGAACTGCGTTTTAGCCAAACTAGTTCTCAATAAATTGAGTTATAAAGCACTTCTAGACTTTTAAGTGAGTTCAGGCTCTTACTTGAAGAAAAAATAAAACTAATCTTTTCTGAGTAAACTTTTACATTTGTCGTGACTCTTAAAAATGAAAACTATTGTCTGGGCAAGGTGGCTCAGGCCTGTAATCCCAGTACTTTGGGAGGCCGAGGCGGGCGGATCACAAGGTCAGAAGTTCAAGACCAGCCTGGCCAATATGGTGAAACACCGTCTCTACCAAAAATACAAAAAAAATTAGCCAGGCTTGGTGGTGGGCACCTATAGTCTCAGCTACTTGGGAGGCTGAGGCAGGGGGATCGCTTGAACCCAGGAGGCAGAAGTTGCAGTGAGCTGAGGTTGTGCCACTGCACCCCAGCCTGGGCAACAGAGAGAGACTCCATCTCAAAAAAAAAAAAAAAAAAAAGAAAACTATCCAAATTTGTAACTATGTAAATTTGTAACTTTTAGGAAACCTGTATTTCAAAACCCTTGGCTGGTAAAGTAACTTGGAGGTAAAGTGCTTTTAAAAAGCAAGAGTACTAATATAAATTTTATTTTCCCAGTATTTGGTAGGAAGTTAACTACTTGGCTTAAAAATATTTAGATTGGTATACTTGGGTTAATTATTTAGACTTTAAGAAAAACGTGTTTATTGATGTTGCAAAAAAATTTCTGCTTTCCATTGTGGTTACGAACATAGGAATTGAATTAAAATATTTTTACCTTTAATTTTGGTTAAACCTACCTATGTTGTTATTCACATTTCTGGATAGTTAGACCAGTAAAGCATACATAGAGAATGTTTATTAGAGAGATATTATACATTTGGGGTTCTTGGAAAGGAAAGCTATCTACTTTTATCTCATTTCTGCCTTTATCAATAGTGTCAAAGTATAGTACAATTGGTTTTTATTTGATAAGCTAAGCTCACTTTAAAAAGTGAATTAAAGTGAGGAATTTTTTAATTGACAGTGTTTTAAACATTATATTTTAACCCAAAACTAAATATATATTGATATGTTTCTCCTTTGATGTAGGGCCAAACCTTGGTTCTTTTTGTATGAGTTATTTGATTAGAATTCTACCTAGTCTTTCTCACATAACTAGAATCCTACCTGGTCTTTCATCGCACTATATTCCATCATCTATAGTTTCCAATGTTGCTTTCTTTGAAGTGGAGGAAGAATTAATTAAAAGACATTTGTAAATGAATCAGACTAAAACATGTTATATTTTTATGGGACCTCCTACAATATTTTATAACAATTTTGAGTGCTTCTAATTGGATAGCAAAATGTTCATGACTTACTCATTGAGCTGGTTCAAAACATATAACTTAGTTTTTGAATAAAAACTTTGCTTATTTCATCATGTTCATAATCTATAATAATATTACAAAATTAAAATTACAAGCACAGTTAGCTAAATTAGCATAAATAAGTTTGGGAAAAAACACAACTGACTCTTGATAAACAGACAATATATATAGTGAGCAAAAATATACAAGCATACCTAGCAGTAGACTGTTATCTGCCAGAGTCTAGTGTCCAGTGGTTATTATTAATAGTTCATTTTATAGAAAGCATTGGTTAGTGAACATCTAATTTATGATGACAGCAAACAATTACATTAATACTCTCCCATTAATAGTCTCTGAAATGTCTAGATTTTAAAGCATACTATTTAGTAAGTTAACTTTGTGTCTGTGTTTATATAATATAAAACATTAAACTACTTCCAATAATGCACTGGATTAGTTTAGCTATAATAACCAAATAAGTTTTATAGCTTTTACTCAATATGTCATTTTTAAGGATGCTCATGGAAACCATTTAGCTGAAGAATTGGGGGCTTCTAAAGTACGTGAAGCTCATTTAGAAGCAAGAATGCAAGCAGAAATCAAGAAATTGTCAGCAGAAGTAGAATCTCTCAAAGAAGCTTATCATATGGAGGTAAAGAAAAATTTAATTTGTTTTGGTAGTGCCCACTACAGTAGGTTGACCTATCTGGACAAAAGTATGAGTCCAGCTCTTAAGTGTTCATTATTGAATAATACATTGTGGTCTTCATTTCTGGTAGCCTACACATATAGCTTTCACTTTAATACACTGTGGAGTTAAGAGCTTGAATTCTTGAGCCAGGCAACCTGGTTGTAAACCCTGGCTCACCACGGAGCCACCTGTATTCCTTGGGTAAGTTACTTAACCTCTGTCTAAAATGGATATGATAACAGTATCTACCTCATAGAACTGTGGTGAATATTAAATAAATTAATATATAAATTATAAAATAGCATTTGTAAAAGATTAGCTGGAGATATTTAATAACTGATATAAATAGTTTCATGTGATGTGAATCTATAATGCTTTGCAATTTTCAACATTGTTTCTTAAAGTAACTTAGCTAGAGAGGTAATACTAGAGCCTTTTTATCTGTCAACATGTCTTGAGCCTTCATAGAAATGGGCAGTATTATTAACTAGTATAGCATTTTTCATCTTTTTAAAAACTACATTTGAAGATATTACCCAAAATCTTTGTATATGATTTAAATAAATTATGTTTAGTGCTAATAAAGCATTTTTCTAATATGGCGAGGGTTGCAAATACATTTATGTTAAACTCCAGGGGAGTTTGGTGACATTTTTGTGGGTGATTGGTAGGGCTTGTGGGGACCATGTCTTGCTTAAACACATTTGGAATTATATGTCTTTGAAAGCATTGTGCCTGCCAAACAAAACAAGCTGAATCTAATCCTAAGGCTAAGAATTTGCAACCTTTGATCTTTAGAGACAAATGTGAATGAATGCTGTTGGACTCAGCATAAGTATATAATTGTTATTAACAGCTCAACTTAGTAACCATCAGTAATAATTAGGCGCTCTCAAGTGTTTGCCCTTAACTACTCATTACACTTTCATTATATGGCCTCTGTTCTGTTTTTAAGTATAATTATCCAATTTTTTCTTTTAGTTTTATAAGCCACTTGAAATTATAAATATATAGAACATAAAATAAACTGTAAAATTAGTTCAGTATTGCTATCTTTTTTAAAAAGATTTGGGGTCTGTGTTGCTCAGACTGGCCTCAAATTCCAGAGCTCAGATAACCCTCCCTCCTCAGCCTCTAAGTAGCTGGGAGTGAAAGCACATGCCGACTGGGCGCATTGGCTCACACCTGTAATCCCAGCACTTTGGGAGGCCAAGACAGGTAGATCACTTGAGGTCAGGAGTTTGAGACCAGCCTGAGCAACATGGCGATACCCTATCTCTACTAAAAATACAAAAATTAGCTGGGCGTGGTGGCGCATGCCTGTAATCCCAGCTACTCAGGAGGTTAAGGCAGGAGAATTGCTTGAACCCAGGAGGCAGAGGTTGCAAGGAGCCGAGATCGTGCCATTGCAATCAAGCCTGAGTGACAAGAGTGAAACTCCGTCTCAAAAAAAAAAAAATAAGCACATGCCACTGCATTTTAATATTTGATATTGCTATTTAATATTTGATACTAATATTTTGTATGTAATATTGAAGTATATATTTTTACCTGTTTGGAAGTTGACAAAAATTTACTTTTAAAATATATATGTTGTTTGAATATAAAAATAAGAGGATATGGTATTAAAGTAATAGAGAGCTGGAAAAGAGGATCAATAATTTTTAACAGTTCTTATTATACTTTAAAAGTATTTTTTTTCTTTTTTTTTTTATACTTTAAGTTCTGGGGTACATGTGCAGAACATGCAGTTTTGTTACATAGGTATACATGTGCCATGGTGGTTTGCTGCACCCATCAACCTGTCACCTACATTAGGTATTTCTCCTAATGTCATCCCTCCCTTAGCCCCCCACCCCGTGACAGGCCCTGGTGTGTGATGTTCCCCTCCCTATGTCCATGTGTTCTCATTGTTTAACTCCCACTTATGAGTGAGAACATGCGGTGTTTGGTTTTCTGTTCTTGTGATAGTTTGCTGAGAATGGTTTCCAGCTCCATCCATGTCCCTGCAAAGGACATGAACTCATCTTTTTTTATGTCTGCATAGTATTCCATGGTGTATATGTGCCACATTTTCTTTATCCAGTCTATTATTGATGGACATTTGGGTTGGTTCCAAGTCTTTGTTATTGTGAATAGTGCTGCAATAAACATACGTGTGCCTGTGACTTTATAGTAGAATGATTTATAATCCTTTGGGTATATACCCAGTAATGGGATTGCTGGGTCAAATGGTATTTCTAGTTCTAGATCAACAGTATTTTTTAATATATAGGTTTCCAAATTGTCAGAAAATCCCTTAATAATAAATGCAAAACTCCTGACTTTTTGGAGGAGAATGAGATTGTTTTAACTTTTGTGAAAATTTTAAATATATTTAAAAATAGATAGTATAAATAGTATACATCCTCATATTTATTTTTGAATGTTAATAATTATCAATGCATAGCCAATTTATTTCATCCATAAATACATTGACCATTTTCATTATCTAAAAGAGAATACTTTTGAGAATGAAAAGGAATGCTGTAGTAATTACAGGAGGGAACCAGGCATAAAACCCAGATAGTCCTAAGCATTCTTGGAAGTGTGCAACACAATGCTTTCAAAGAGATATGATTCTAAATGTATTTAAGCAAGACATGGTCCCCACAAGCCCCACCAATCTAAGCAAGACATGGTCCCCACAAACCCCACCAATCACCCACAAAAATGTTACCAAACTCCCTTGAACGGAGTTTAACATAAATGTTAAACCCATTCCCAAGCCATCCCCCATATTCACATATTATTTGAAGCAAATTTTAGACATAATTATTTCATACGTAAATAATTATGTAGACATAATTATGTCATCCATAAATAATTATGTAGACATAATTATTTCATCTGTTCAAAAATAAATATGAGGATGTATACTATTTATACTATTCTATATTCAATAAGTATTTTGTGTTAGTCCATTTTCACACTGCTATAAAGAAATACCTGAGATTGGGTAATTTATAAAGAAAAAGGTTTAATTAACTCCCAGTTTCACATGGCTGGGGACACCTCAGGAAACTTAAAATCACGGCAGAAGGTTAAGGGAAAGCAAAGCATGTCTTACCTGACAGCAGGAGAGAGAGAGTGTGTGGAAATGCCACACTTTCAAACCATCACATCTCAGGAGAATGAACTTACTATCATGAGAACAGCTTGGGGGAACCGCCCCCATGATCCAGTAAGCTCCCACCAGGTACCTTCCTCCATACATGGGGATTACAATTCAAGATGAGATTTCGGTGGGGACACAGAGCCAAGCCGTATCATTCCAACTCTGGCCCCTGCCAGATCTCATGTCCTTCTCACATTTCAAAACACAATCATACCTTCCCAACAGAACCCCAAAGTCTTAACTCATTCCAGCATTAACCCAAAAGTCCAAGTCCAAAGTCTCATCTGAGACAAGCCAAGTTGCTTCTGTCTGTGAGCTTATAAAATAAAAAACAAGTTAGTTACTTCCAAGATACAATGGGGATACAGGCATTGGGTAAATGTTCCCCTTCCAAATGGGAAAAATTGGCCAAAACAAAGAGGCTGCAGGGCCCATGCAAATATGAAACCCAGTGGGGCAGTCATTAAATGTTAAAGCTCCAAAATAATCTCCTTTGACTCCATTCTTCACATCCAAGGTATGCTGATGCAAGGGGTGGACTCCCAAAGTTTTGGGCAGCTCCACCCCTGTGGCTCTGCAGGGTACAGTCCCTGTGGCTGTTTTCACGGGCTGGCGTTGAGTGTTTGGGGCTTTTCCAGGTGCACGATGCAAGCTGTTGGTGAATCTACCATTCTGGGGTCTGGGGAATGGTGGCTGTCTTCTTACAACTCCACTACCCAGTGCCCCAGTGGGGACCTGTATGGGGGCTCCAACCCCACATTTCTTCTCTGGACTGCCTTAGTAGAGGTTCTCCATGAGGGCTTCACCTCTGCAGCAGACTTCTGCTTGGACTTCCAGGCATTTCCACACATCCTCTGAAATCTAAGCAGAGGCTCCCAAAGCTCAATTCTTGTCTTCTGTGCACCTGCAGGCTTAACACCACATGGAAGCTGCCAAGGTGTGGGGCTTGCACCCTCTGAAGCAACGGTCTGAGCTGTACCTTGACCCCTTTTAGCCATGGGTGGAGCTGAATCAACTGTGATGCAGGTCACCCCATCTTGAGGCTGCACAGAGCAATGGGGCTCTGCGCCTGGCCCACAAAACCATTTTTTCCTCCTAAATATCCAGGCCTGTGATGGGAGGGGCTTCCTTGAAGATCTCTGAAATGGCCTGGAGACATTTTCCCCATTGTCTTGGCAATTAATATTTAGCTCCTCATTACTTAAGAAAATTTCTATAGCCAGCTTGAATTTCTCCCCATAGAATGGGTTTTTCTTTTCTACCACATGGCCAAGCTGCAATTTTTTTTAAACTTTTATGCTCTGCTTCCCTTTTAAACATAAGTTCTGATTTCAGATCATCTCTTTGTGAATGCATATGACTGTACACTTTCACAAAAGCCAGATCACCTCTTGAATCCTTAAAAATTTCTTCTCTCAGAGACCCTAAATCATCTCTCTCAACTTCAAAGTTCCACAGATCTCTAGGGTGGGGGCAAAATGCCACTGGTCTCTTTGCTAAAACATAGCAAGATACTCTAGTTTCCAATAAGTTTCTCATCTCCATGTGACACCACTTTAGCTTACACTTCATTGTCCATATCACTATCAGCATTTTGGTCAAAACCATTCGACAAGTCTCTGGGAAGTTCCACACGTTCTCACATCTCCCTGTCTTCTGATTCCTCCAAACTGTTCTAACCTCTGCCCATTACCCAGTTCCAAAGTGACTTCCACATTTTCAGGTTATCTTTATAGTAGTACCCCACTATTCTGATACCAGTTTTCTGTTATTAGTCCATTTTCACCCTGCTATAAAAACTGAATCAATTAAACCTCTTTTCCTTATAAATTACACAGTCTCAGGCCTGGCATGAGTGCCTGAGGCTTTTCCAGGTGCAGGTGCAAGGGCTATCACTGGATCTACCATTCTGGAGTTTGGAGAATGCTGACAGTTTCAGGGTAATTTATAAAGAAAAGAGGTTTAATTGACTCACAGTTCCACATGGCTGGGGAGGCCTCAGGAAACTTAGTTTTTACAATTATGGCAGAAGGGGAAGCAAGTCATGTCTTACATGGTGATGGTAGAGAGAGAGCAAGAGGGGACGTGTCACACTTTTAAATGATCAGATCTCATGAGAACTCAGTATCATGAGAACAGCATGGGTGAAACCATCCCCATGACCCAATTACCTCCCACCAGGTTGCTCCTTCGACATACGAGACCTACAATTCAAGATGAAGCCTGGGTGGGGATACGGAGCCAAACCAAAACATAGCTCTAAAAGATAAGGGCTATTTTTTGGAACAGAACCACAATACCATTATCACATCTAAAAATTGACAGTGACTCCTTAATATCATCAAGTATCCAATCATTGTTCAGATTTCCCCAGTTGTCTCAAAAATGTCTTTATAATTTATTTGTTCAAATCAGTACCCAAATAGAGTCCATTGCATTTGGTTAATTAAGTTCTTGAGTAAACTGAAGATTATAGATTCCTTTTCTCCCTTTTTCCTCTAGTATCTGTTGAGAAATCACATATTTGTAACTATAAACAGAATTTGCTATTTTTAAAGAAAAAGTAAATAAAAGTAGAAAGTATTAGACTGTTGTTGAATCCAGTTTCATTCTATTTTTTTGTTAATTTTTTTTCTTTTCCATTCTGGGGCTATATAGATGATTTCACATCAAGAGAACCATGCAAAGTGGAAGATTTCTGCTGACTCTCAAAAGACTTCTGTTCAGCAACTAAATGAACAATTAGAGAAGGCAAAACTGGAATTAGAAGAAGCTCAGGATACTGTAAGCAATTTGCATCAACAAGTCCAAGATAGGAATGAAGTAATTGAAGCTGCAAATGAAGCATTACTTACTAAAGTAAGTAAACATATAACAGTAATAAAGCATATCTATGAAAACGTAAATGTCTGACTTATTTACCTGTCCTTGTAGTTTATAGAGGACTATATGACCAAATATTGGCCTGTTTGAATAAAAAGCATTTTATTTAGAAGATTGTGAATTTAGGAAATTATTAAGATGTACATTTTATTACCATAGAAGATATAATTTATAAATGTTCAAATATAAATTCATCTAATCATAATGTTTAGAGGGTTTTATACTTGATATACCTAAAACAAAAAAGCAGAAGCACTTTTCAAAATCAGCAAAGATCTTTTAAAATCATAAAGTAGGCCAGGCGTGGTGGCCTACTCTTATATTCCCAGTACTTCAGGAGGCCAAGGTGGGCAGATCACTTGAGGTCAGCAGTTCAAGACCAGCCTGGCCAACATGGTGAAACCACCCTGTCTCTACTAAAAAATACAAAAATTAGCAGGACGTGGTGGCCGGCACCTGTAATCACAGCTACATGGGAAACTGAGGCAGAAGAATTGCTTGAGCCCGGGAGGCAGAGGTTGCAGTAAGCCGAGATCACACAACTGCCCTCCAGCCTGGGTGACAGAGTGAGACTCCTTCTCAAAAAAAGAAAAAAATAAAGTAGACAATCCAAGATTATATTCAGAGGTTTTTATCTAGATTTGAATATAGACATAATTTAAAAAGGAATCCCAGTTCTTTGGTCAAGGCAGGAGGATGACTTGAGTACAGGAGTTCAAGTCCAGCCTGGACAACATAGCAAGACCCTGTCTGTGCAAAAAAAAAAAATTTTTTTAAATAGCTTTTGCTTTGTATTCTTCTTCATTAATCATGGCAGTTTCTCCCAGAATTTGAAATTAATATCAGTATTGATGCATAGAGATTAAAACATTGGTTCAAACTTGCCAATATGTAGGGTAAAGTTCTTAGTGAAGGCCTTAAAAAAGAATATACTGATAATTATGAAGCAATAAATGATTTTATAGCAAAATGAAAGTTATTGAAAAGGAAAAAACCTCAGCCAAATAATACCTTAGAAATATTTCTAGTTACTAAGCTGAATACTTAAATTCCATTTATAACAGAGTTGATATTAACAGTACTAGAGGAAAGCTGAATAGACATAATCTAATACATAAAAATATATTGAGGTTGAACACTCTATTAATGATTTTATTAATATTTCATGTTCTGTAATGTACATTTATACAGAATTATGAGCTTCATTATAGAAAATTGACCCTAAAAAATTAGATTCTGTGCTGTATTGCTTGTCACAGTATTATCCCTGCTGCTCATTACTAAATATTACTGATGAGATAAATACAATTAGATTGCATGTGTTAGTAATTCAGATGATTTTAAGTTTAACTGTTTAGGCAGTTACCAAAATAGTGGCTATGTAGCAACATTTCTTTTTTTTTTTCAGGCAGAGTCTTGCTTCATTGCCCAGGCTGGAGTGCAGTGGCACAATCACAGCTCACTGCAGCCTTGACCTACTGGCCTCAAAGCAATTTTCCCACCTCAGCTCCCGAGTAGCTTAGACGACAGGAATATGCCACCATGCCCAGCTAATGTTTAACTTTTTTTTGTAGAGACAGAGACTCCTTATGTTGCCCAGGCTTTTCTCAAACTTCTGGGCTCAAGCAATCATCCCAAATTGGCCTCCCAAAGTGCTGGCATTGCAGGCATGAGCTACCACAACTGACTGACAATTCTTAAATGAATCATAGATATAGAGATCTTAGAATATGTACTGTGATTAGTCAGTATACCAGTCAGAAAATAGAATTCCTATGTTGGCTTACAGTAGCTCGCAAAGTCAACCTCAGCCTACTGTAAAGTCTAAACTGAAGAGAAATTGAGGATAAAACTAAGAAATAAAGAAGACAGTCTAATAGAAGGGGAGAAGCAGGCATAACTGTAACTAAAAATAATAGAAAGCAATTCCATTGACAACATCAGTAAATGACAGGGAACAAAATCAGAAGTGAGGGAGAAGAAAAGAAAGATCAGTGTTTAAGGCAACTAGTCTTTCTAGTTCACTTTCTCTGGTACCTTAACTAGCAACCTTATATTTGAGGGTAATTAGAACAAGGGCAAAAACCATTTTTTGAGAGCCATGAAGGCATCATTATATTATGGTTCACTACAATTACATTCACAACAGTGACCTTCTTTGAATCTTAAGAAAAAGCTGAATTAATTTAATGTATTCAGTGTACTATATTTATTGTAAAAGTTATGTGTTAAAACTGTAGGTTAAATAAAATCCTACTTATATGAGATACCACATATCTCAATTATGGCTAGATAATGCAGAGGAGGAAAAAGAAAAAAGACTGCAGCTGTGTACAGTCCTATTCTGTGCCAACTCTACAACTGTTTTGTTAATTGTGATTTTAACAATGTGAATGTAAGATTTACAACAAAAAATTGGCACTCTAGCCACTTAAAAATCATATAAATTGGGGATGGGTTCCAAGATGGCCAAATAGGAACAGCTCCAGTCTGCAGCTCCCAGTGTGACTGACGCTGAAGACGGGTGATTTCTGCATTTCCAACTGAGGTACCTGGTTCGTCTTACTGGGACTGGTTGGACAGTGGGTGCAGCCCACGGTGGGTGAGCCGAAGCAGGGCGGGACATCGCCTCACCCAGAAAGCACAAAGGGTTAGAGGATTTCCCTTTCCCAGCCAAGTGAAGCCATGACAGACGGTACCTGAGAAATTGGGACACTCTTGTCCTAATACTGCACTTTTCCAGTGGTCTTAGCAAATGGCACATCAGGAGATTATATTCCGTGCCTGGCTCGACGGGTCCCACACCCACAGAGCCTTTCTCACTGCTAGCACATCAGTCTGAGATTGAACTGCGAAGTGGCAGCCTGGGCTGGGAAAGGGGCATCCGCCATTGCTGAGGCTTGAGTAGGTAAACAAAGTGACTGGGAACCTGGAACTGGGTGGAGCCCACCGCAGCTCAATGAGGCCTGCCTGCCTATCTAGACTCCACTTCTGGGGGCAGGGCATAGCTGAGCAAAAGGCAGCAGAAACTTCTGCAGACTTAAACGTCCCTGTCTGACAACTCTGAAGAGAGCCGTGGTTCTCCCAGCATGGAGTTTGAGCTCTGGGAAAGGACAGACTGCCTCCTCAAGTGGGTCCCTGATCCCCGTGTAGCCTAACTGGGAAACACCTGCCAGTAGGGGCTGACTGACACCTCATACAGCCGGGTGCTCCTCTGAGATGAAGCTTCCAGAGGAAGGATCAGGCGGCAATATTTGCTGTTCTGCAACCTCCACTGGTGATACCCAGGCAAACAGAGTCTGGAGTGGACCTCCAGCAAACTCCAACAGACCTGCAGCTGAGGGGTCTGACTGTTAGAAGGAAAACTAACAAACAGGAATAGCATCAACATCAACAAAAAGGACATCCACACCGAAACCCCATCTGTAGGTCACCATCATCAAAGACCAAAGTTAGATAAAACTACAAAGATGGGGAGAAACCAGAGCAGAAAAAGCTGAAAATTCTAAAAACCAGAGTGCCTCTTCTTCTCTAAAGGATCGCAGCTCATTGCCAGCAATGGAATAAAGCTGGACGGAGAATAACTTTGATGAGTTGACAGAAGCAGGCTTCAGAAGGTTGGTAATAACAAACTTCTCCAAGCTAAAGGAGGATATTTGAATCCATCTCAAGGAAGCTAAAAACCTTGAAAAAAGATTAGACCAATGGCTAACTAGAATAAACAGTGTAGGGAAGACCTTAAATGATATGATGGCATGTCACAAGAACATGACACATGCATAAGCTTCAGTAGCCAGTTCGATCAAATGGAAGAAAGAGTATCAGCGATTGAAGATCAAATGAATGAAATAAGGTGAGAAGAGAAGTTTAGAGAAAAAAGAGTAAAAAGAAATGAACAAAGCCTCCAAGAAATATGTGACTATGTGAAAAGACCAAATCTACTTTTGATTGGTGTACCTGAAAGTGACGGAGAGAATGGAACCAAGTTGGAAAACACTCTTCAGGATATTATCCAGGAGAACTTCCCCAAGGTAGCAAGGCAGGCAGGCCAACATTCAAATTCAGGAAATACAGAGACCACCACAAAGATACTCCTCGAAAAGAGCAACCCCAAGACACATTAATTGTCAGAGTCACCAAAGTTGAAATGAAGAAAAAAATGTTAAGGGCCGCCAGAGACAAAGGTCCGGTTACCCATAAAGGGAAAACCATCAGACTAACAGTGGATCTCTCAGCAGAAACTCTACAAGCCAGAAGAGAGTGGGGGCCAATATTCAACATTCTTAAATAAAAGAATTTTCTTTTTTTTTTTTTTTTTTTTTGAGACGGAGTCTTGCTCTGTCGCCCAGGCTGGAGTGCAGTGGCCGGATCTCAGCTCACTGCAAGCTCCGCCTCCCGGGTTCACGCCATTCTCCTGCCTCAGCCTCCCGAGTAGCTGGGACTACAGGCGCCCGCCACCTCGCCCGGCTAGTTTTTTGTATTTTTTAGTAGAGACGGGGTTTCACCGTGTTAACCAGGATGGTCTCGATCTTCTGACCTCGTGATCCGCCCGTTTCGGCCTCCCAAAGTGCTGGGATTACAGGCTTGAGCCACCGCGCCCGGCCAATAAAAGAATTTTCAACCCAGAATTTCATATCCAGCCAAACTAAGCTTCATAAGTGAAGGAGAAATAAAATCCTTTACAGACAAGCAACTGCTGAGAGATTTTGTCACCACCAGGCCTGCCTTACAAGAGCTCCTGAAGGAAGCACTAAACATGGAAAGGAACAACTGGTACCAGCCACTGCAAACACATGCCAAATTGTAAAGAACGTCGATGCTAGGAAGAAACTGCATCAACTAATGGGCAGAATAACCAGCTAACATCATAAAGACAGGATCAAATTCACACATAACAATATTAACCTTAAATGGAAATGGGCTAAATGCCCCAATTAAAAGACACAGAGTGGCAAATTAGATAAAGACCAGACCCATCAGTGTGCTGTATTCATGAGACCCGTCTCATGTGCAGAGACACACACAGGCTCAAAATAAAGGGATGGAGGAAGATCTGCCAAGCAAATGGAAAACAAAACAAACAAACAAAAAAAGCAGGAGTTGCAATCCTAGTCTCATAAAACAGACTTTAAACCAACAAAGATCAAAAGAGACAAGGCCATTACATAATGGTGAAGGGATCAATTCAACAAGAAGAGCTAACTATCCTAAATATATATGCATCCAATACAGGACCACCCAGATTCATAAGGCAAGTCCTTAGAGACTTACAGAGAGACTTAGACTCCCACACAATAATAATGGGAGACTTTAACACCCCACTGTCAATATGAGATGAATGAGACAGAAGGTTAAAAAGGATATCCAAGACTTGAACTCAGCTCTGCACCAAGTGGACCTAATAGACATCTACAGAACTCTCCACTCCAAGTCAACAGAATATACATTCTTCTCAGCACCACATTGCACTTATTCCAAAATTGACCACATAGTTGGAAATAAACCACTCCTCAGCAAATGTAAAAGAACAGAAATCACAACAAACTGTCCCTCAGACCACAGTGCAATCAAATTAGAACTCAGGATTAAGAAACTCACTCAAAACCACACAACTACATGGCAACTGCACGACCTGCTCCTGAATGACTACTGGGTACATAATGAAATGAAGGCAGAAATAAAGATATTCTTTGAAACCAGTCAGAACAAAGACACAACATATGAGAATCTCTGGGACACATTTAAAGCAGTGTGTAGAGGGAAATTTATAGCACTAAATGCCCACCAAGGAAGCAGGGAAAGATCTAAAATTGACACTGTTTACATTCACATTAAAAGAACTACGAGAAGCAAGAGCAAACAAATTTCAAAGCTAGCGAAGGTAGAAATAAGTAGATGGGCAGAACGTAAGAAGGAAGAGCACAAAAAAACCTTCGCAAAAAAAATTCCATGAATCCAAGGACGCTTTGCGTTTTTGAAAAAGACAAGAGGCACGCAGGAAATGTGATAGACTCTAGGCAAGACTATAAAGAAGAAAAGAGAGAAGAATCAAATAGACACAATAAAAAATGATAAAGGGATATCACCACTGACCCCACAGAAATACAAACCACCATCAGAGAATACTATAAACACCTCTGCCACATAAAACTAGAAAACCTTAGAAGAAATAGATAAATTCTGGACACATACACCCTCCCAAGACTAAACCAGGAAGAAGAAGTTGAATCCTGAATAGGTACCAACCACAGGCTCTGAAATTGAGGAAATTAATTATTAGCCTACCAACCAAAAAAAGTCCAGGACCAGACGGATTCACAGTTGAATTCTACCAGAGGGACAAAGAAGAGTTGGTACCATTCCTTCTGAAACTATTCCAATCAATGAAAAGAAGGAATCCTCTCTAACTCATTTTATGAGGCCAGCATCATCTTGATTACTAAGGGCGCTGGCAGAGACACAACAAAAAAAGAGAATTTTAGACCAATATCCCTGATGAACATTGATGCGAAAATCCTCAATAAAATACTGGCAAACTGAGTCCAGCAGCACATCAAAAAGCTTATCCACCACAATCAAGATGGCTTTATCCCTGGGATGCATGGCTGGTTCAACATACACAAATCGATAAACGTAATCCATCACATAAACGGAACCAAAGACAAAAACCACATGATTATCTCAATAGATGCAGAAAAGGCCTTCAACAAAATTCAACAGCCCTTCATGCTAAAAACTGTCAAACTAGGTACCGATGAAATGTATCTCAAAATAATAAAAGCTATTTATGACAGGCCTACAGCCAATATCATACTAAATGGGCAAAAACTGGAAGCATTCCTTTTGAAAACTGGCACAAGACAGGGAAGTCCTCTCTCACCACTCCTATTCAACATAGTGTTGGAAGTTCTGGCCAGGGGAATCAGGCAGGAGAAAGAAATAAAGAGTATTCCATTAGGAAAAGAGGAAGTCAAATTGTCCCTGTTTGCAGATGACATGATTGTATATTTAGAAAACCCCATCATCTCAGTCCCAAATCTCCTTAAACTGATAACTTCAGCAAAGGCTCAGGATTCAAAACCAATGTACAAAAATCACAAGCATTCCTATTCACCAATAACAGACCAACAGAGAGCCAAATCATGAGTGAACTCCCATTCACAATTGCTTCAAAGAGAATGAAATACCTAGGAATCCAACTTACAAGGGATGTGAAGGATCTCCAAGGAGAACTACAAACCACTGCTCAATGAAATAGAAGAGGACACAAACAAACGTAAGGACATTCCATGCTCATGGATAGGAAGAATCAATATCATGAAAATGGCCATACTGCCCAAGGTAATTTATCGATTCAATGCCATCCCCATCAAGCTACCAATGGCGTTCTTCACAGAATTGGAAAACACTACTTTAAAGTTCATATAGAACCAAAAAAGAGCCCACATAGCCAAGACAATCCTAAGCCAAAAGAACAAAGCTGGAGGCATCATGCTACCTGACTTAAAACTATGCTACAAGACTACAGTAACCAAAACAGCATGATACTGGTACCAAAACAGAGATACAGACCAATGGAACAGAACAGAGGCCTCAGAAATAACACCACACATCTACAACCATCTGATCTTTGACAAACCTGACAAAAACAAGAAATAGGAAAAGGATTTCCTATTTAATAAATGGTGCTGGGAAAACTGGCTAGCTATATGTAGAAAGCTGAAACTGCATCCCTTCCTTACACCTTATACAAAAATTAATTCAAGATGGATTAAAGACTTAAATGTTAGACCTAAAACCATAAAATCCCTAGAAGAAAACCTAGGCAATACCATTCAGGACATAGGCACAGGCAAGGACTTCATGACTGAAACACCAAAAGCAATGGCAACAAAAGCCAAAATAGAGAACTCGGATCTAATTAAACTAAAGAGCTTCTGCACAGCAAAAGAAACTACCATCAGAGTGAACAGGCAACCTACAGAATGGGAGAAAATTTTTGCAATCTACCCATCTGACAAAGGGCTAATATCCAGAATCTACAAAGAACTTAAACAAATTTACAAGAAAAAATCAACCCCATCAAAAAGTGGGTGAAGGGTATGAACAGACACTTCTTAAAAGAAAACATTATGCAGCCAACAGACACCTGAAAAAATGTTCATCATCACTGGCCATCAGAGAAATGCCAATAAAAACCACAATGAAATACCGTCTCACACCAGTTAGAATGGTGATCATTAAAAAGTCAGGAAACAACAGGTGCTGGAGAGGATGTGGAGAAATAGGAACACTTCTACCCTGTCGGTGGGAGTGTAAACTAGTTTGACCATTGTGGAAGACAGTGTGGCAATTCCTCAAAGATCTAGAACTAGAAATACCATTTGACCCAGCAATCCCATTACTGGGTATATACCCAAAGGATTATAAATCACACTGCTATAAAGACATGCACACGTATGTTTATTGTGGCACTATTCACAATAACAAACACTTGGAACCAACCCAAATGTCCATCAATGATAGACTGGATAAAGAAAATGTGGCACATATACACCATGGAATACTATGCAGCCATAAAAAAGGATGAGTTCATGTCCTTTGTAGGGACATGGATGTAACTGGAAACCATCATTCTGAGCAAACTATTGCAAGGACAGAAAACCAAACACCAGATATTCTCACTCATAGGTGGGGATTGAACAATAAGAACACTTGGACACAGGGCGGGGAACATCACACACCAGGGCCTGTCATGGGATGGGGGAGGGGAGAGGGATAGCATTAAGAGAAATCCCTAATGTAAATGACAAGTTAATGGGTGCAGCACACCAACATGGCACATGTATACATATGTAAGAAACCTGCACGTCGTGCATGTGTACCCTAGAACTTAAAGTATTTTAAAAAATCATATAAATCAATTTTAGATGAAGTAGTATAAAAACAGGAAAGAACTGAAATATGCATGTTAAACTTTTATTTTGTAATGCATTCTGTGGTTATGACAGTTTTAGTTATGAACACAGTATTTTTGAAAGCTACTTTAAGAACAGAAACTATCAGATTAAAATGGATAGGATTTAGAAATATGTATCTTATGGATACCTTTAAGAAAAGGCAAATGTATTTGAAAAGAAGACTACTATACTTACATTATTAAGCTTTTGAAATTAATATATCATCTCTTTTTTTAGGCTTTTTGGTTTTTTACTTTATGTAGTCTCCTAGGATCCCAAAGTTCAGTTAGAGGACCCAAATAAAAGACATGAAAAAAATAGAAATGCAAAGTTTATTTAACAAGGATTGATTTATTAAAAATTAATCACTTTTTTAAGTTTTTGAAAAATGTCTAATATAATAAAGCTTTCTTGTAATGAGAACACAAAAAGCAGAATAGCTTATATCTGTTTATTCCCTGTTGGAAATTCTGAAAGGGGTCTTTTTGTGTCTACATGTGTTAGATTAACAAAAGCTAGCATACCTCTACACTTTTGCAGAGAAATTTTTAGGTGTAAGATTTCAGTCTTGAATAGAAATTGATATTGTCATTAACACCAAAAAATATATATATAAGGAAAATTAGTTTTAATGGAATTTCTTAGAATAAGCATATTTCAAATGAACACGTGTAATTTTCCCAAAGTGAACCTATCTTAAATAAGTAAAGGTTTTAAACAGAGCTTGGAAAATTCTCGAGAATTATCAACAGAATTCCTATACTGGGACAAAGGTTGACTTTCTAAAAGTCTATGATTTTCTAAGGAGTTCATTCATTTAACAAAAATGTTTTGAACACCTACTATGTACCAATTTTTCTGCAGGAATCAGAATTAACCAGATTACAAGCCAAAATTTCTGGACATGAAAAGGCAGAAGACACCAAGTTTCTACCAGGCCCATTTACATCTCCAACAGAAATTATGCCTGATGTTCAAGATCCAAAATTTGCTAAACATTTTCACACATCTTTTTCCAAGTGTACAAAATTACGTCGCTCTATTAGTGCCAGTGATCTTACTTTCAAAACTCATGGTGATGAAGATCTTTCTGAAGAATTACTACAGGACTTGAAGAAAATGCAATTAGAACAGCCTTCAACATCAGAAGAAAGCCGTAAGAATCTGACTTACACCCAGCCAGACTCATTTAAACCTCTCACGTATAACCTAGAAGATGATAGTTCTGAGAGTAATGACTTTAGCACGCTTAGTGGGATGCTAAGGTACATAAACAAAGAAGTAAGACTATTAAAAAAGTCTTCTATGCAGACAGGTGCTGGTTTAACTCAGGTATGTATTTTATATACTGTAAGTTGTAATATTTGTTTCCAAAACATATCATTTTGTTACTTGGAAGAAAATTTGTGTATTTAAATGAAAAACTACTAATATTTGAAAAAGGAAGATTTTACATTTTAAACATTAAGTAAAATTAATACCAAAAGACATTTTCTCTAGGTCATGGTGTGACATAATAGGGGGAGTTATATAGGGGGAAAGAGAGAGGCAAAGGGAGACAGAACAGGAAGTAGAATTAAAAATAGGTAGATAGACATGGAAGTGCTTAAAAATTAAAAAAAAAAAACTGAAAAAAAGAAAAATGGGAAGAAGAAACATGCAGTGAGAGGAATCCAGAGAAAGTAGGTTCTGAGGTGAATGTTCTCATAACTTCGTCATAATTTACTGTTCACTTGGGCTCAGTATGTCAGAATAAGTTATTGCTGGCTATCACTGTCTTTGGAAAGTTGATTTACTGATTAGCCATTATTTAAAAGTATGAATAAGTCCAGTGTTCCTTATAATTTTTCACCCTAAAGTATTTATGTTCATCTTTCCTTCTTTTATCCCTTTTCTCTTTAAAGATACATCTCTCTTCTTTTTTAGAGAGAACCTCTTGAACATGTACTTTCAAGCCTTTAATATGCTTGCCTGTTTTGCTTCTCTGCTTCCTGATTTAATATGTATCTTCAAGCTTCTTTATTTACCTCTTCCTTTCATTTCCAGACATCTTAAAGTCATACCCACTCTAAGCTGGGTGCAGTGGCACATGCCTGCAATCCCAGCTACCTCGGAGGCTGAGGCAGGAGGATTATGTGAGGGCAGGAGTTTGAGACCAGTATGGGCAACATGGCGAGACCCCATCTCAAAAAAAAAAAAATTTTATTCATTCTATTTCTCCATTGTAGTTACCTCCTTACTACCCTTCCCACTGTGTAACTTACTGTATTTGTCTCTTGAATATTAAATTTACTGTTTTCTTGAAAGTCACAAAAAAACCTCATTGTATAATACACAAATTTAGTATCCTCTTTTCAGCTTTTGTAGATTTAACTGTCCATTCCCCGTTTTGATATTTTCTCTTCTCTTGACTTTTATGATTTAATATTTTTCTGGTCCTCTTCTTATTCTGAACTAACTACTTTCTCACTTTTCTGCTCCTCGTATTCCTTATGTTCCACAATATAGGATTTAATCTGTAGTTTGCATATGGAAATAAAGAATCTCCTTTAGATAATGTTAGCTTTTTAAAAAATGCCTAACATCATTTTCAAACACATCAAGATAGCTTTGGTGGCCTGAACAGTTAAAAAAAATTTTTTTTGTAATAGATCCAAGACAAAGAAAAATTGTTGAATGAGGTTTTCTTCATAATACTTATTTTTGCCTGGCATTTAAGTATATGTCTATCTACTTGTTTATTGATTGTCTCCCCCACTGAAAATGTAAGCTCTGTGTGGACAGGGTATGGTCATTTCGCTTATTTCTATATTTCCAGTGCCTGGTATATAGTAGATGCTCAATAAATATTTATGAATGAATCAAATGGCTAAATAAATTATATACAGTAAACATAACTGTAGTTTTAAATGCTAGATTTCATCAGGTTATGCTGGCCAAAATTTCACTTTTAGTATATTACTTTTAGCATGCAAGAAGTTAAAGATTCAGAAAAGGTAACTGAGAAATAATCAGTGAAATAGAAGAGAAATTAGGAGAGTATAATGTTTCACAATGTATTTCAAGGAGGGTGAGATCAATTGTGTCCAGTGTTGCTAAGTAAAGTGAAGATTGATAATTGACTATCATATTTGGTAATGTTGAGGCTTTTATGACCTTCATAAGACTGGCTTTAGAGTAACAATGGGAATGAAAGCCTGATGTAGAGTGGGTTTAGCATAGAATGGAAAGAGGAAATAGAAACACCAAGAATAGACAACTCTTTGGATAAAGAGTAAAGCAGAGAAATGAGGGAGATGTGATGTCAAGGGAGAGTTTTTGTTTTGCTTTTCAACATAAGAGAGAAAACAGCTGTTGGATAGTGATAGGAATGATCCAGTAGACAGGGAAACAGCAATTCAAGACAGAGAGTAGGAGGAGTAAAATCCTTAAGGTAGGCTTAAGAAATGGGATACAGGAGAGCAGTAGAGGAGTTGGTCTTAGATAAACGAAGGGGCAGTTCATCCACTGTAGTGGGAAGGAAGGCAGAATATGGGAGCACAGAAACACATGGAATGGAAGGTTTGGTAGTCGGAGAGAAATTTCTTTATTGATTGCTTTTATTTTCTTAGTGAAATAAGAAGCAGTGTTTTTAGCTAAGGCATAGTAAGATATTGGAAATTTAAGAACAGGGAAGGTATATGAAATGATTACTTACTTTGGAGAGTAGGAAAGCATAAACAGACTAGCAAAGTCTAGTAGAATTGCTAGCCAGATAGTTCTGTCATGTGGAACAACCGTGCAAGATACAGGACATCTGGCATCATTTGTCCCTGCCCATTGTATATCTGCAGCAGCATGTTCCTTTCTCCCCTATCATAGTGACAACCAAAAAGTACCATCACAGATTTCTAGAATGTTCTGTAGAGGATGGTACTGCACCCTTTAAGAACCTCTGCTCTACTCCAGTGACCCTTGCAGTCATAGATATGCAAGACTCTCTTTTTGGTAAAAATAGCACCTAATTTATGCAGGATAAATTTGATAAGTACAGTGACAGATTGTGATCATAACAATACATAGCCTTTACTGTATGTCAAGCAAATCCTTTACATAAGTTAACTCATTTAATCCTTGTAACAACCCCCTGATAGGTACTATTATCTGAATAGTACCAAATGATAGTACCTAATAGTTCTACTGTAGCAGGTACTGTTATTACCCTTATTATATGAGGAAACTTGAGTCCCTGCTCTTAACCACTATATATAATATTTACATAATTGTGTTGGCATTTTCTTCAGTACTGTCCAATTACATAGTTTGGTCTTGCAGTTGCTTAGCCAGTTAAGGATTAAGAGTAGGAGTTAGCTGGGCATGGTGGCTTACACCTGTAATCCCAGCACTTTGGGAGGCTGAGGCAGGTAGATCATGAGCTCAGGAGTTCAAGACCAGCCTGGCTAAGAGGGCGAAACCCCATCTCTACTGAAAACACAAAAATTGGCTGGGCGTGGTGGTGCGCACCTGTAATCCCAGCTGCTCAGGAGGCTGAGGCAGATAACTGCTTAAACCCAGGAGGCAGAGGTTGCAGTGAGCCGAGATTGCACCACTGCACTCCAGCCTGGGCACCAGAGCAAGACTCTATCTCTAAATAAAAAAATAAACAGTAGGAGTTAAAAGTTACTACATAACTGATAGAATGATTTCTTACTCTGTAGGTTTTTGCAATATATATTTGAATTTTTCAAGTCGTTTCACCTAGTCAATTATCATTGAAGATCAAATTAAAATTAAATTTTCAAAATACTAGCCGGGTAAGGTGCCTCACACCTTTAATCTCAACACTTTTGGAGGCCAAACGGGGATTACTTGAGACCAGGATTTCAAGGCCAGCCTGGGCAGCATAGCAAACCCTATCTCTACAGAAAAATAAAATGAACAATTAGCTGGGCATGGTGGCACACATCTGTAGTCCTAGCTACTTGGAAGCTGAGGTGGGAGGATCACTTGAGCCTGGTTCGAGGCTGCAGTGAGCTATTATCATGCACTGTAGCCTAGGCAATGGAGCAAGAACCCATCTCTAAACAAAACAAACGTAGCCTATTGTTAAACTTAAAAGATTGGATTCTTACAATCCTATCAAAGTTATATTCTGTACAAACATAGTTTTCTTGATTGTCAATGATACTCTACGTAAAGTTTTAAATGCATTAACCACAGTCAATACTCATAAGTTTAAGCTCACATGGAACTCTTATAGCGCATGAGCCTCAGTGACCACCTCATAGTCATTTACATGTATGTTGCATTAATAAATATATACTACTCTGTAAAATTTAATGAAAGAGATGCATTTTTATTTTTTTGAGACAGAATCTTGCGCTGTCACCTAGGCTGGAGTGTAGTGGCACGATCTCAGCTCACTGCAACCTCCGCTTCCCGGGTTCAAGCAATTCTCATACCTCAGCCACCTAAGTAGCTGGGATTACAGGCCTGTGTCACCATGCCCAGCTAATTTTTGTATTTTTTAGTAGAGACGGGGTTTCACCATGTTGGCCAGGCTGGTCTCAAACTCCTGGCCCCAAGTGATCTACCCACCTAGGCCTCCCAAAGTGCTGAGATGACAAGCATGAGCCACCGTGCCTGGCCTGAAAGAGATCTTTTAAATTGGGATGTAGAGCCATGATCTGTAGCCTAGTTCAGGTCCTCAGCTTATTTCACCCACCACTTAAGTAAGAGATTGCATTGGTCTCCTATTTAAAAGCAGAATTTTAAAACTCTTAAACCAAAGAAATTATTATTTAAATAAAGTGTTATAAAGAAATCCAGTATGTCAAATAGATAACAAAGGTAGTTTATCTGATTGGGGGTAGGATATGTCTGACCTTTACCCAGTTACTTAAATCTACTCATGGCTGCTCATGCAAAAGCTCCAGAGCAGCCCTGGATTAATTATTAAGGAAAATAAGCAGGAGCATAGGGGACTAAGGGAAATGCCACAGAGTTATTTGTCCTAGCTATAATCTTCTTAATTCGTTCACTGCCACACTTGACTTTAGTAGAATTTTTAGTAATGGTCTTTATCTGCCATGTTCAAATTTAATCTGCACTGTTGAAAAATCATTTTCTGTGGTATGGTGAGTGACAAAAGTTTAAAAGTTTCATTTGAAAGTGTCATCAGGTATTACATTTGTTTCTTTACACATGGTGTGAGTTTCAAAACCAGCTAGCTTGGTCTGGATAGCATTTGACTCATCAACTGATTTGTCTAAAGGACTCTTAAGCATTTTTTTAAAGCAGTGGTAGGGCCAGGAGGCACCATTTTTGGGCTGTGCAGAGGGTATCAGCTGGCCTAAATCCAGCTATGCTTGAGAAAGTGCAGTCTTAAAGTCCACTGGTACAATGGAAAGAATGTGGAAATCGATACATGAGAAGTGTTTAATAAGTGTTAGCTCCCTTTCTTGTGTTGCAGCCCAAATACTATTTTCCTAATGGTTAAGTACGTTGGCACTTCCATTGAGAGTAAAGCCTCTTAACACAGCAGTATTCTGCTTTCAGACTAACAAAAGCTTCAGAACTCAAAAAATTATACCTGTACACAATTTAGAACACAATATCAGCAAGTTCAGAGACTTCACATTAACTCTTATTCTAATCCTGTTTTGGATTAGAGCAGTGGAAGTGTTGTGAATACTGATTAATTAGCTAATTCACCATTTATTAGGAATTTATAAGAAGTTATTACTTCTATTTTGCTTATTTGTAGTTCTCAAGATATGGTACATATATCGTGCAGTAAGATGAAAAATAAGAAATTAGGAAATTAGCTATAGGGAAAACAAAGATAAAAAATATTAAACCAGGAGTACAGGTAATACCTAGAGACATGATAATATTTTCAAATTCACACCCTCAGTAAAGATGAAGGTATGACAAGAAAATTTGGCTCATATTTTTTAAAATCCCCTGGGCCTTTTTCCTCTATTTTTCTACTTTATGTTCAACTGCTTTTATATGCAACCAATTCTCTTTTGTCTTTTTCTTTTTCTGCTCTTTTTTCTTCTTTTAGTCTTCCTTTTTAATTGACTTTTTTCATGTAGCTATTCATCCTTGTTTATTGTGCTCTCAAACGATAATGTGACAGTGATGCCTAAATATGTTATTTTTACATTCCTTTTTTTGAGTTTTAAAATTAGTTTAACCTCATATTCACACCCACCTCATTCAGCCAGAATTGTTTGCTTTTATTTTTTATTTTATTTATTTATTTTTTGAGATGGAGTTACGCTCTTGTCTCCCAGGCTGGAGTGCAGTGGTGCATCTCGGCTCACTGCAACCTCCCACTTCAAGGTTCAAGTGATTCTCCTGCCTCAGCCTTCTGACTAGCTGGGATTAGAGACACTCGCCACCACACCCAGCTAATTTTTGTATTTTTTTGGTAGAGATAGGGTTTCACAATGTTGGCCAGGCTGGTCTCACTCCTGACCTCAGGTGATCCACTCGCCTAGGCCTTCCAAAGTGCTGGGATTACAGGCGTGAGCCACTACGCCTGGCCTGCATTCTATATTCATGTGGTTCATTATTGACTTTTTATGATTCATATTTTTCAGTAGACTAAATATTTCTCTTGCTTTAAATTATACTCCTGTTATTATAGTAAACTTTTAATGCTCAATCAGCTTAGGAATATTTCAAATATTAATCTATTATTTTGCATTATTCCAGGGAGAAAATGTGTAATTAAAAGAAGATACCGATATGTTGAAAAAAATGGAATTTTTGGTACTGTGCTGTGTTTACTTATTATATGTAGCTCATACTTCATAGAAGCTGTTATTTTGCTTTTGAATAAATTTTATATTTCAATATTTTAAAAGAAAGCCCCACTAAAACTTAATTATATTTTTAAAGAAAATTTATTATTTTATTTATTGTTTTTTGGCTTAAACTTGCTGCTTTCCTTTGCTTTTTATATAAAAATCATTGTTAAAATGCATAAGTACATTGAGGAATGTAAATTTTTTTTGTTTTTGAAATGAAAGGCCTCACATATTTACTACTGAACCTAGCCAACCAATGCGTTCATAACAGATGCAGAGAGAAAAAATATGTTCCCAACAAAACATGTCAAACTCTCCAGATAGTGGTGACATTTTCACCTTGATATGGTAACATGATTGTGACTTTCAGACAGCATAAATATGTTTGCCATCTCATGTGCAGTTCCTTATAGACCCAGCTTGGTTCTTCTCCATTGTCTCCTTTTGGTTTTATTTTATTAATAAAATCCTGATTTTATTAGCAGTTTTCATCCGAATCCACTGGGGAACGGCACAATTTTGCTTTTGTTTCTTGGCCAGCAATTGCTTAATCCCAAAAGTCTTGTGAGAAGACATGGCGAGAAGCAGAGTCAAGCACACACCATGATGGCGGAGAAAGGAAGAGAGGCGAGGAATATCAGTTCTTAATCAGACTATTATTTGCTAATTTTTTTGGTAATACTTAATTTTTAAAATTAGCATAAATTTGTAACTCATTCTGCCAGAGGTTTATAATTATACTAATAATGGCTGATTTTCATTGAGTCAGTTTACTGTTTATCAGTGACTATTCTAGGCACTTGTATTAGTCTGTTCTCATGCTGCCAATAAAGACATACCCCAGACTGGCCAAGTGCAGTGGCTCACGCCTGTAATCCCTGCACTTTGTGAGGCCGAGGTGGGCAGATCACAAGGTCAGGAGATCAAGAACATCCTGGCTAACACAGTGAAACCCCCTCTCTACTAAAAATACAAAAAAAAAAAAAAAAATTAGCTGGGCATGGTGGCGGGCGCCTGTAGTCCCAGCTACTTGGGAGGCTGAGGCAGGAGAATAGCATGAACCCGAGAGTCGGAGCTTGCAGTGAGCCGAGATCATGCCACTGCACTCCAGCCTGGGTGACAGAGCGAGACTCCGTCTCAAAAAAAACAAAAAAAACCTACCCCAGAACTGGGTAATTTATAAAGGAAAAGAGGTTTTGCTTTTGTTTTTGTTTTGAGTTGGAGTTTTGCTTTTGTCACCTAGGCTGGAGTACAGTGGTGTCATCTTGGCTCACTGCAATCTCCGCCTCCCGGGTTCAAGCGATTCTCCTGCCTCAGCCTCCTGACTAGCTGGGATTACAAGTGCCCACCACCATGCCTGGCTAGTAGTTTGTATTTTTTAGTAGGGACAGGGTTTCACCATGTTGGCCTGGCTGGTCTTGAACTCCTGAGAACTCAGGTGATCACCCACCTCGGCCTCCCAAAAGTGTCAGGATTATAGGCTTGAGCCACTGCACCTGGCCAGAAAAGAAGTTTAATAGACTCACAGTTCCACATGGCTGGGGAGGCCTCACAATCAATCATAGCAGAAGGCAAAGGAGGAGCAAAGTCAAGTTTTGCATGGCAGCAGGTAAGAGAGAGCATATGTGGGGGAACGCCTCTTTATAAAACCTCAGATCTCATGAGACTTATTCACGATCACAAGAACAGCATGGGAAAGACCCACCCTTATTATTCATATTTTTGAAGATTTAAAGGAAGAGATGGCCATAATGAGTGAATAGATGGGGAGGAATCTTAGACAAATAGAAATCAATGAATGGGACAAGGTAGAAACCAGGGAGTCCCAATATGTTAGAGGCAGGCAGAAAAGAAAACTGAGAATGGATGTTTAGAGGTAAAATAACCAAATGGGACCTCTAGAACCAAAAATAATATTATCTGAACATTTAAAACTCCCAATATTGGCTTAACAGCAGATTGGTGATGACAGAAAAGTCAGTTGACTTGAAAGCAGATAAATAGTAAATTTCCACTCTGAAGAACAAAGAGAATATGATTGAATAAATATAAAAAGAGCATCTAAGACCTGTATGACAGTATCAAGAGGAAAAGAAAGGGAAAATGAGGCAGGAAAAAAGGTTCTTATAGTTATGGCTGAAAATATCACAAATGTGGTGAAAAGATGACAACCTGTAGATTTTCTAAGCTCAACAAGCCCTAAGCAGGATTCAAAAAAAAAAAAAAAAAAAAAATCCTGCTTAGTCATATAATAGTGAAAATTCTGTAAACCAAACACAGAAATATCTTAAAAATAGAGAGAGAAAAAAATCCTTATGTAGGGGAACAGTGATCCAAAAGAAGGCAGATTTGCCATGAGAAAGGCTGAGACACACTTTTAAAAGGACAACTGTATTAGACTGTTCTCACACTTCTATAAAGAACTACGTGAGACTGGGTAATTTATAAAGAAAAGAGGTTTAATTGACTCACAGTTCCACGGGCTAGACAGGAGGCATGGCTCAGGAAGCCTTGGGAAACTTAAAATCGTGGTGGAAGGTGAATGGGAAGTCAGCATGTCTTACATGGCAGGAGCAGAAGGAAGAGAGAGCAAAGGGGGAAGCGCTACACACTCTTAAACAGATCTTGTGAGAACTCTATCATGAGGCAGCACTAGGGGGATGGTACTAAACCATTAAAAACCACTTCCATGATCCAATTACCTCCCACCAAGCCCCACCTCCAATACTCAGGTTCAAAATTCAACATGAGATTTGGGTGGGGACACAAAGCCAAATCATATCATTCCAACCATGTCCCCTCCAACATCTCATGTCCTTCTCACACAAAATTTCAATCATCCATTCTCAACAGTCCCCTAAGTCTTAACTCATTTCAGCATTAACTCAAAAATCCATAGTCCAAAGTCTCATCTGAGACAAGGCAAGTTCCTTCCACCTATGATCCTATAAAATAAAAAACAAGTTAGTTACTTCAAAGATACAATGGGGGTACAGACATTGGGTAAATGCTCCCATTCCAAAAGGGAAAAATTGGCCCAAAACAAAGGGGCTACAAGTCCCATGATCCAATCACCTTCCACCAGGCTCCACCTCCAACACTTGGGATCACAATTCAATATGAGATTTGGGTGGGACACAAAGCAAACCATATCAACAATAGAATGAAAGTTTAAAGTATGGACAAAGGTACCAGGGAAACAAGCATAAAAAACACTTCAGGGCTATATTAATATCTGACAAAGTAGATGTCAAAAAATGAGTTTTACCAGAGATTAAAAAAGGATGTTTTGTAATGGTAAAAGGATCCATTTAATAGGAAGACATACTCCTAAATGTGTATACACCAAATAACAGACTTTAGACACATGAAGTGAAATCTAACCGAACTAAAGGGACAAATAGATCCACATAGTGGGATAGTTTAACCTCCAGTTTTCAGTAATTAAAAGAATAAGAGACCAAAAAAATCAGCAGGGATAGAGAAGTTATGAATAATATCAAACTGATTTGACTTAACTGACATTTAAAGAATACTATAGAGCCAGGCATGGTGGCTCATGCCTGTAATTCCAGCAATTTGGGAAGCCAAGGTGGGAGGACTGCTTGAGCCCAGAAGTTTGAGACCAACCTGGGCAACATGGTGAAACCCTGTCTCTACCAAAACAAACAAAAAATCAACCAGGCATGGTGGTGTGTGCCTATAGTCCTAGCTATTCAGGAGGCTGAGGTGGGAGGATTGCTTGATGCTTGAGCCCAGGAGGCAGAGGTTGCAGTGAGCAGAGATCACACCACTGCACTCCAGCCTGGGCAACAGAGCGAGACCATATATATATAATACATATTGTAGGCCAGGAATGATGGCTCACACCTGTAATCCCAACACTTTGGGAGGCTAAGGCAGGAGGAATGCTTGAGCCCAGCAGTTCAAGACAGGCAAGAACAACATAGCGAGACCCCATCTCTACAAAAAATTAAGAAATTAACTGCACATGGTGATGTGTGCCTGTGGTCCAAGCTACTCAGAAGGCTGAGGTAGGAGAATCTCTTGAGCCTGAGAGTTCAAGGCTGCAGTGAACCGTGATCACGCTACTGCACTTCAAGCTGGGCAACAGAACAACAACAACAAACAACAACAACAACAAAAAGCAGATTGCTATTAAATATGAGGGTCATCAGTGCATACAGACTGCCTAAATTAAAAGGCCTGACAAAAGCTACAAATCAACAGTTTTAAAATACTGGACATGAAGCAACAAAAGACAGTGGTTTCTGAGAGAGGGGTGAGCCCTTTATTTCTCCCAGCTTATTACCTGGAGTAAGTTTCTAGGCTGTGACCTTGGGTTGAAGAGGCAGAGATAGGAATCTGGGGAGGCTAAGAAGGCTAGAATTCACAGGGCACAGTATTAGAGAGGAGAGAGCTATACAGAGAACTCTGGAAATGAAAGGATCTCCCTCAAAATTTTCAGATGAGAAATCATCAGTGACTATATGTGAGGAAACTACACAAGACAAGGGAAAGAACCACTTGAATAATTGGAACAATCCTCAGAGCTCAGAAAGCTCTGACAACAGTTTTTGTTTCCATGACTAGGAGTGAGAAAAATCTCATCATTTTCAGGGCATCAGGTAGAATTTTCAAGAATGTTGCCTCAATAATGGGGAAATAAAGCCTAGTCTAAATGCCTCTTGGGTACTAGTTAAGAGTCATTTAAAGCAAAATCTGAAAGGATAAAACTGTTTTCAAATAATCATGCCCAAGAACAAAAGCTCAAGAATATTTATAGGAGTAAACTATTTAATAATGTAAAATTCAGAATGTGTTTAATCAAAAGTTACCAGGGCCAGGAATGGTGGTGCAGCTGTAGTCCCAGCTATTCAGAAAGCTGAGCAGGAGGATCACTTGAGCCCAGGAGTTCAAAGCTCTAGTGTGCTATGATCACACTATGAGGAGGCACTGCACTCCAGCCTGGGCAACATAGCAAGACCACATCTCTTTTAAAAAATTACCAGGAATGGAAAGAAACAGGAAAATATGACCCAATAATGATAAAAAGCAATCT